GTTCAGCAACAACAAGTGCAGCCACACGTTCCAGAAGGAGAGCATCCAGGCGTGGTTTGCCGAGATGCGGAACCAGGAGAGGACGTGTCCCACGACGGGCTGCAATGTGGTACGTGCTCTTTTTCTTTCATCGCGCTTCGTGGCGTCCTCCCTTCGTTTTCCGGCCGATGTAACCCGTTGTGCTCGCCATCTGATGCCTCCTGTATACCTGCTGGCTACGCCGTGTATTTTCTTGGCACAGTCGCGAGCATGGCCTGTCCTGCTCTCATCTGGAGGCTTTCCCGACAGCCCGCTGACGTGGCTCTGCAGCAACTCAAACTCGGGGACTTTTACGACGACGATCTCATCCTGCGGAAGATCCTGCGCCAGAAGAAGAGGCTCGCAGCAGAGGCTGCCGCCGCTGAGGAGATAGACGACGTGAGTGACGACGACGAGGCGCCGAGGCGGCGGTCGCAAGCCGTCAAAAAGGAAAGGCGAGGCAGCGACGACGAGATTGAAGATGATTCCTGAGGGCGGCATGCCAGGATCACGAAAAGCGGACACGAGTAGTACATGAAACGACTTAGATTGATACCCAAAAGACGATTGTTTGTAAACCTGTTCTTTTGCATACAACGTGACAGTCGCGGTGCGGATCTCATAAGGTTTCATTTAACTGATCTGTTCAAAAATCTATAAACTCCACGCTGCGCTGCGCTTGCTCCTCTGCTCGTGTCTGCGTGTCCTGTCCGTGACACGGCACGAATTGCATGTTTACACCACCGCCGCCAAGGCCACGCCCGCCCCAATGATCGAGCTCTCCTTTGCCGGGACGAGGTCGATGCTCAGGCCCGACTTACCACTGGCTTCCAGGAGCTCGTTGACAAAAGACTGGCACATGTCGCGGTATCCCGGGTAGCTCTCGAGCACACTCCCGTTGAAGGCCACCATCGTGTGCTTCAGGGCGAGCTCTGTCTCCGCCGTGGCAGCTTCCGAGGGCGACAACGTGGGCAGCGTCTCGCGGACGCCGTCGAGGCGGAGATCCCAAATGCCGTGGACTGCTGCAGCAAGAATGGCAGCAGAACGGCGGGAAATGAGGGCGGAGATGTCGCGGAAGAAGGCGAGATCTGTTGCGGTTGGTGCGTGTGGTGAAGGATGGCGCGCTGCAAAGGCCGCAATAGCTGTCTCGAGCGTAGCGTTGTCACTGTGGTTGTCAGTTTTGTACATTCATTCCAATAGAGCCAATCAGCTCACCTCTCAGCCATGGACATTGTCTCGGTACTCAAGGAGTAGGGCTCGGAAAGGTTCTCCGGAACCACGCCGCCGAATATACCAGTTGTCGTGATGGCCTCAATAAGCACAAATCGAGCAACTTCGCCCAGGTACATGCCGCTGAGCATGTGCTCCAGCGGTTGAAAGTCGGGACGGGGATGTCCTGCTTTGAGGTCGGCATCCCAGCGTGTGATTGATAGGATGTCATGTCCAAACATGCCCAGCTCCGTATTGACAATGACACTCTGCGCCTCCTCAAACCACTCTTGCGGCCGCTCGCCGAATTTCGCAGCGCCGATGAGGGGCACAGGAAGGTGGGCAGCAATGTTAACGCCGGTGCCGAGAATGAGCCCGAATCTCGTAGCCGGGTGAGTGTAGGCTCGAGAAAGCAATGTAGCATTCCCGTCGTTCAAAATGACGAGCAGCTCTGCCACGAGACCAGAGCGACGACAGGCAGCTTCAATCACGGTACCGAGATCCTGTCCCTGGAGGCCATCGGCGGCGCGGAAACCCTTGCCCATACCATGGATGCGACCACTGCGGAGGGACGTTTGTCTACAACTTGTTAGTGACCAGCCCAGGAGCTCTCAAGAGGCGAACACCAACTTACTCAATAGGGAAGCTCCAGGACAAGGCCATGGGTAACGCGCCGTCTTGCTCGGCTCTGCGGCCCTCTTCCTCGTTTTCAAGTGTTTCGACAATCCTATCAGCCATCCAGTCGAAAAAGGCCAGACCTTCAAGATCCTTGATCGTCTTATCGATGCGGAACGATTTCATGCCGACAATCTCAGACTCCTTGCCCTTGATCTCGTAGTCATGGCCACGCAGCTCGACCAGAGCAACTCGCAACGTAGAGCCGCCAACATCGAGGGCGAGGTATCTCCCCCTCTCCAAGCCGGTAGGAAGCTTGTGGTTGAACGAAGGCAGCATGCATGCCGGGTCGGTCTGTAATCTAGCGCGGAACTGTGTCTTCAGGGCGTGAGAGAGCTCGAGTAGGCCATTGTCCAGCAGAGGCCCAAGGATCAGATCCTCCACCTCCCTGAGGAAGTCTTGTGTGGACCGTCGGAGGCCAGGGGCATAAGGCGCCGAAACCTTGCCGCCCTCGTAGATTGATTGGGACGAGGATGAGGAGGAAGTTGAGGACTTCTTGGCGCTGGAGGGGCGGTGTGATGATGTGGTCCAGAAGGTGAGGAGGGACTGTATCAAGGACTTGCCGCGCAAGAGCTGCTTGACAATGGCGGCAAGGAGGGATCGGTGGATGGTTGTCATTGCAGAAACGAGCGGCTGCATGACATGGGGCAACCGTGCTATGGTGAGGAAGAGGTTCGATATAGGGTCAGGGGGGACATGTAAGTGACGAGAGAATGCAGGGTAAATAGGCCAAATAGAGCTCAAGCCATGTCCCCTGTGTTTTGGTGTGACCTTTGTGACGAAGCGAATATGGCATTCGACCTGGGATGGCACCAACTGGGTGACAATGGCGCCTCGCGCGTCGCAAGCCGACGGACGGGTAAGTGGGACACGGGCTGAGGATCGACAGGGCCGCTGGCGCCAGATGGTATCGCGACGTTTGGGTCGGGTATCCTCTACCCTTCGGTCAACAGCTGGGCGGTGTATGAAACCTGCCGACGGTGGAGGGGGCCGAGAGAGTTGAACCGCGTGGTCGCTGTCACTCGCAGTTGTTGAGGTAGCCTCTCAGTAGGGCGAAGGGAGGCTCAGGCTCGATGGAGAGACGACGAAAAAGGTAGGGCGGCACAACGCCGACAGATGGATGGACCAATGGGCCGGTGGACTGGAGCCAAAGCGAGTAACGAGTAGCAAGACGACGGCAAGACAGGGCAAGACACGAAGGTGAGAGTGGAACACTAGGAAAGGGAGGAAACGGGTCCCTCGAGTTGAGTTGAGTCGAGTCGAGTCGAAGCTCCCCTGCGTCCGTTCCATCAATCCGTCCGTTCACAACGTCGCACAGGCGATGGGGCGACAGATGGTAAGATGGTAGGTAGACTGGTGATCCACTTGGGTCCTCTCGCATTCTTCAGGGGGTGCGATGCGGTGCCGTATGGTGCTTGCAATGAGGCAGGATGCTGAGAGCGCAATAGCAGGGATGGTCTGTCGTTCTCTCGCATCACTGTGTATTCTCGGGCGGCCCACGACCTGGACGTCGAGCGTTCTGGGTGGCGCGCATACCGGAGCCGGAAGAAAGGGCACAGGTTTGGTGGGATCGTCGGCTTCTGGCGAGGCTTGGTGGAAACTGAAGGAGCTGAGGATGGTGTTGCGAGGTGGAAACAGACGTCGTTGGGCTGGTCCTTATGAGTTGTAACGTTGCTTGTGCCCTTCAGTGGGCTCCTGCCTGTACATGGTAAACGTTGGCGTTGACCGATAAGCCTGGTGCGGTCGGATAATCGCCGGGCCCCACCCAGATCTGACTCCAAGCCTCCAAAGATCGACGGGTGCAATGTTCCCTCTCTCGACTTCGTGCCTCATCCACTCATCCACTCATCCACCCAACCCACATTGCCACGACCAGAGGCTACAAACGCCCATCCTTGTTCGTCCAGGCGCTTGTTGCATTTGCATCTGAGGCGTTCGTCGACGCAGGCATCAAACCAAGGGTCCAGGCCCACTTCATTGTTTGTACTGATACCACACATGCTTCGACTGCAATCCTGACATTGTGCAGCCAGCCTGCATCAGCATACGGCTTGGAGAACCTTGACCTACCTTACGCAATCGACGCTACGCATGCATCGGTTTATCAAAAAGACTGATTGGCCAGTGGGAAACAACAGTATCAAAACTTCGGCATCTTCGCGATCATGAAGCTTGATGGTTGCCGTGGCTCGCCTGATCATCAACCCGCAGTCCACACCACCAGCTGAGGCGCTCCGTGCCAGTCGTCGTCGAGGCATCTACCTTTCAGCATGCGAGTGCGTTCACTAAATGCTAGTTACCCGTCTCCGCCGAGCCGTTGAACGTCAGCCAACGGCCTAGCAACATGGGATCACACCATCCCCGGACTGGCTGCCCCCGCCTAGGTACGAAGCGTTCCGGCCTGGTGGAACTCGGGCAGGCCAGCGTCATTGTACAGTCCACCACCTATGCCGTGACCCTTCCTCATGAATACCGCCGTGACGTTCCATACCCCCACAGCGGCAACCTCCATGCTCGTCTCGTGGACGACGGGCTCCCGAGACTGTAGCCATGACGGTGTCACGACACGATCGATTACGCAGTATCCATGCTTCCACGCAGCCATCCCAGAGGCCGTCTGCTCCGATTCGCCTCCCGGGCAGCGTGTCACTCCTCCCTAATAAGGCGAAGCCTCTCACGGTTGAGCTTTGCTTTTTGTGCTGTCCCTCCTAAACAACACATCTTCCAAGCCTCTGATCCTCATCAACAGACCTCTTGCTTCCTTTCCCCTTCCAACATCTTTACCCCCACGCTAGACCCCTTTCATAATCTCCGTCATGAGGCTCATCATCAGGGACGATGCCGAATCGGCAGCCACCTACGTCGCCAACTACATCGTCAACCGCATCAGGGAGTTTGGTCCCTGTACCGAGAGGCCCTTCGTCATGGGTCTCCCTACAGGGAGTACCCCCATGGGTGTGTACAAGCTCCTTGTCGAGAAGTACAAGGCTGGCGAGGTGTGTTTTCCTGGACGACATTCGTGATATGCACGGCTCATGGTCATCTAGGTCTCCTTCGAACATGTTGTCACATTTAACATGGTGAGTGCTATCCTTCACGTCATGTGTCCTGCTCGTCTCATATATCGCACACAAAATCCAGATGATGCCCAAGAACATCAACTAACCTGCTCAGGATGAATATGTCGGCATCCCTCGCGACCACTCTCAGAGCTACCACACTTTCATGTGGCGCAATCTCTTCTCGCACATCGATATTCTCCCCTCCAACGTCCACATCCTCAACGGCAACGCCCCCTCCCTCGAGGCTGAATGTGCCGCCTACGAAGCCGCCATCAGCGCCGTTGGCGGCATAGACCTTTTCCTCGCTGGCATCGGCGCCGACGGCCACATCGCCTTCAACGAGCCAGGCTCCTCGCTGGCCTCGCGCACACGCGTCAAGACCCTAGCCTACGACACGGTCCTCGACAACGCGCGCTTCTTCGGCGACGACCTCGCCGCCGTGCCCCGTTGCGCCCTGACCGTCGGTGTGCGCACCGTCCTCGACGCCGCCGAGGTCGTTGCCGTCGCGCTCGGCGCCCGCAAGGCCCCCGCCCTGCAGCGCTGCATCGAGGCCGGCGTCAACCACATGTGGACCCTGTCGGCGCTGCAGATGCACCCGCACGCCATGGTCGTCTGCGACGAGGACGCGACGCTCGAGCTCGCCGTCAAGACGGTCCGCTACTTCAAGTCGATCGAAAAGGTCGCCCGCGAGCGCGGCTACGAGCAGGTCCTGCCCGCCGAGCTGCGCGTCCACCCGGCCTCGCCCACCTCGCCCGCCAGCAGCGGCACGGACTCGGCCGTCATCGTCGACGCTGTTCAGAGCCCCACCGTGCTGCGCCCGCAGCCCGTCACGCCGGCCCTGCTAAGGGCCAACAGCCCCGCGCTCGCCCCCAACGTCCGCGCCGTGTCGCCTGATCTCGACCTCGTCCCGGATCGCATGGCGTCGAGGATCCCGGAGCCGGCTCTGACGAGGCGCCTGACGCCGAACTCCGGAGCAGCAGATGCCCCGGTCTGCGGATGAATGCCGTCGGAGCGTGAGGGGTGTCGCCGGAGCGTGAGGTCGCCGTCGGGAGCATGAGGTTGCCGTAGCGTGAGGTTGCCGCCTGGGAGCGAAGGATACGAACAAGATGGAAAACGGACACTTGGTTGTTTGGGATTGGAACGATTGCTTCCCACTCGTTTTGCGGAGTTTGATAGAGACCAGAATGATATCCAATGTATGATGTATTTGAAAAACGAAGCAAATCAGTCAAGGCGTTGAAAGACATCTTATTAATACACGACTTTATATTTGCCTTATTTGCCATGTCGAGTTGTAAAACAGTGGCATGTGTATCCCATCCCACCTGGCTGTGTGAATATGAGACCAGGGAGGTCGACGCCTCCCCTCCCCCGGCGGCGCGTGGAGCAAAAGTCCAGCCTTGTTTGGCTTAGATCACAGTCCAGTGAACTGGCAACTGGTCTACGCGAAAGTTCAACAGCAGGCGTTTGAAATCAATGGTCATGGGTATTCAACTATCTGCATCCGTCTCAGCCTCAGTCCTCTTTCCTGCCCCGCTCCTCTCATCAACCGTGGCGCATGGCTGTGGCTAGGAGTAACTTGTATAGTACATAGGTAATGCGAGCACGGCGCGCCGGATCTCTCAACCTCGGATTCTCCACAAAGAATACATCGTGACACCCTTCGATACAAAGATGTGCCCTGTTCTTCAAGACTCAGCCGTGAAGTATCTCTTCATCTTGCTTCGCATCTGCTGAGCCTTAAGCTCAGCAGGCACAATGGTGTGGTGTACAATGTGGGGCCGATACACGGCTTCAACCGGAGGCATCCTATCCAGAGACGTCAGCTCGAAGATCTGCAATCACAGTGTGTAGAACATACCAGTCGTCCACACTGAGGGGGAAGTATTCATAAAGCATATCCTCGTCATCCTTGGGGCTCTGGCTGGCTGTCGGTCTCGTGGCAGCGGCTGTCTTTGAAAACCGCGGGCTCTGCAGCTCCGCGCTTGACCTGTTCGGACTCCTTTCATCTTCGGATAGAGAAAGATTGATTGGGCCGGACACTCCCTGCCGTGCATTGCTACTAGCTAGCAAGGTGTTCCCCATAGACCTGCTCGGTTCGTTGGACCAGGATGGTATTGGTGGCCGTGAGATGCCTGGAGACATGGCTAGCCTCTTGGCCGAGTGCTGTATGTTTTGTTCTTTCAATGGCTGTGGTGTCGCCCAGTCGCCGGTGTACTATCAAAGGTCAGATGACGAGGGCAGGATATCATGCATATTACCATACCTGAACACTGGACCCAGATGACGACAATCTCTGCAGTGGTGGCGGCTGCCCCCCGTTGCTGTCTCTATGCTGCATGGAAGCATCTGAATTGCTCCGCGCGCCAGACTTCTTCTCTCCTGTCAGGGGTATATCCTTTTTGCTGTCAAAATTTCTCGGGCTCCTCCCCCTGACGATGACGGGGCTGGATGCAATCTCCGCAACCTTGATCCAATCGCCCGACTGTGGTCTTGCGAGGAGGTTAATCTGCACAACGTAATGTTGCTGCAAGCCCTTCCGTCTTCCGTTGTTGGCCGTCGCGTGCTTGAACTGAAGTCTCTTCCAGGACATGTTCAGGGTAACGCGATTCGCGTCGACTTCCTGTCCTGTGCTGAGATCAAGGGGGCAATTTGGCGGCGCACTCGTTGCCTTCATCTCCTCGCCCGGCATAGGGTTGGTGCTCTTCCAGGGTATCGATATGATCTCGGTCACTTTGCTCTCAATGGACTCCACGGCACCGATGGAAGCCGACAATTCGAATACGGGCCTGTGGTTTCCGTGCTCGTCAATGACATGGGTGATGTGTCGTGGGAGCGTGATCTCCCCGAGACACTGCCACAGGTTTCGTCGGTAGCAGGTCAGCTCAAGGGGTCTCCCAGCCGTGTCCCCGCCGAACACGTCCTCGGCGACGAAGAACATGCCACGCAGCTCAGCCGTCATGGATGATATATCGACGTCCTGCCCCGTCTCATCAACAAGTGTGGCCTTCGACGCGGCAGCCGAGAAGCCGAGTAGCTTGTTGTCCAGCTCTTGCGTCGGGGAGTCCTGGTTCGGGTCCTCAATCGGCGGTTGAGCCTCGTAAGGCCGGGCAGAATAAGAAAAGGGGTCGTCGAAGCCGGCAGAGAAATCTTGAAAGTCGTAGGTGGGCGTGAATGGTAGTGAAGGAAATGCGCCATGGACGCTGTCCCTGGAACATGGGTCATCAGCAGTGTTCAGGGGGGGGAAGGAGGGGTGTTCCCCAGGCAGAGAGTACGCACATGAGCGAGTCGTCGAAGATGGAGGGGTCAAGCCCGTCCACGACGTCTGGCCCGAGGCTCATACTGTCGTCTGGGGTCGCAACGGCGAGCGGCGGGGGCATTGGGTTGAACGTCTCCATTGCATGGCTCGGTCGACTTGCGACACGAGCGGCGATGCGGTGCGCACGCCAGGTGCGGGGGAGATGGCCGATAGAGGCGCTGGATAGGTCGTCTCAGAGATGACGCCAGGAGTGAATATACTGTCTTATTAAGGGTCGTGCCAGCAAGCTTGTGGTGTTCGTTTCCGGCTGCCGTAGACGTTGGATAGGGCACTTGAGTCCGGAACGAGGGTCTTGTTGTTAGGTTCTCGGACACAATCTGCCTTGGGAGAAAGAGCGACAGAGCGCAGCGGCCAGCAGCGGAGGGCAGCCCACCTGCCTGGTTCAACCCCGGAAAGTCCTTGCCCTGCCGTCCTCGGACGATTCCTATCAATAAGGGCTGGTCTTGTGATTGGATAGAGAGCGAAACAGTTCGCACTGTAGCTTCGAGAATGGGTCCAACTGGAGCCTCCCTGGGGGGTTGAAAAGGCGCTAATGGGCTGTCTTTGCGGGGATGTACAGGGGTATCACACCACTGGCTAAGAGCCGAAGGGTCGCCCTCAGCATTGTGACGTTGACCAATTTACCCCAATCAACCGCCACATCCTGTACAGCAGCAACTGGATTTACAGACTCACAATGTCATGTGTGGAAGCCTGACATTCCACAGCAACAGCATCACGAACATCCGTTACCCCGATGGCAGTGGGATCTTCTCCGCCACTCTTCTGAACGCTAGGTTACACCTGTATTAGCCTGAAAGGTGGGATATGAGACAGTACAAGCCACACTGTTTCATCACATGGTTATCTCCAACCTGTCTAAGCTAGCTAACTCTATGCCCAGTAGTATTCCTCTTGTGCGAGGCTTCTTATCATCCCGCGATCTTCCAGAACAATCTTCCCATCAAATCGTGTTGCTTTATCTCCTGCATTGTAACTCCTGTGTAGGAATAAATCTTCCAAGCGGCCGTCCGCTCATCTACAGTGGAGAAACCGGGTCTCCCAAGCCTTCGCGACGATACACCAGCGTACCGAACTTCCAAACCTCGTCAATGACGAGCTGCGTCGCCCCATCCTGCGTCTCTTCCGAGAAGACGACAAGGTCGGCGTCAGCCCCGGACTTGAGTGATCCTTTGGTATCCTGCACCTCCAGCATCGCCGCCGGGGTCGAAGTCACCGACTTCAACGCCTTGGGAATAGTGGTGCCAGACCACTTGAGGAAGTTATTGACGCACTCGATGAGGGTGATTGAACTGTTCCATCATGTTAACCATTTGGCCTCAACAGAATTTGTGCTACTTGCCTTCCAGCAATCGTGTCCGTCCCCTCCAGAAGCAGCGTAGGCCCAACCTTGATGATTCGGCTCTCCGCGTCGCCATTCGTCCACTGATAGGCGCCATCAGGCAGGCCCATCATGTGCATGGCATCCGTGACGAGAATGAAGCCATCTGGGTGCGTATTGAACGCAATGTTGACCGTGGTCGGGTGGAGATGGATACCATCGGCAATGATACCAAAGTATGGCCTCTCGAGACTCTGCGAGGCTCCAAGCACGCCAAAGACGCCCGGGTTTCGGTGGTGCAGCGGACGCATCGCGTTGAAGAGGTGTGTGATCATTGTGGCGCCCGCCGCTACCGCCGAAGAGGCCTCCTCGTATGTGGCTTCTGTGTGTCCGATAGAGCAGATGATGCCCCGTTTTGTCAGTTCAGGGATGAACTTCATCATCTGGCCTTGTTCAGGGGCAATGGTCATCTTCTTTATGGACAGAGGCGCGTCGCCCGACGGGGTCAGGTTGAATGACCCGTAGCAGGCCTCGATGTCTTCAAATGTCTCTGCTACCTGCAGCACATCCTTGTTATGAATGCCATTCTTGGAGGAGTTGAGAAACGGTCCTTCACAGTGCGCGCCAAGAGACTCTGCGCCATTCTCGTGGTGCCGGGAGTTGGAGGGCCCCAGATATGGGAGAACCTATACCACTTAGACATTGTTCTTCTTCTAGAGTATTGAACCACTCTTACCGTCTGATACAGTTCAGGGTTCTGCGACGTAAGGGTAGGTGCGTAGGACGTCACTCCCGTCGCCACCAGCCTCTTGTTCACCTCCAGAACCTTTTTGCCATATTGGGCGGCGTCTTCAAGAAGCGTAGAAAAGTTGAAGCCGAAGCCACCGTTGAGCTGCACGTCGATCAAGCCGGGCGAGAGGATGCGTCCGCCCAGGTCGATAGATTTGTCCGGTACGGTGAGCTCATCGAAGAAAGCAGCTTGACTAGAAATGACTTTGCCTGTCTGAGAGCTCACCCAGAGGTCTTCTGTCACCAATTCATCGCCCCTGACCAGGCGGCAGTTGGTGAACCTGGTGATGCCGCTTTGGGAGCGCGTCGGCGAGAGAGCGATAGGCATAGTGTCGGATATGCTGATGCCTCGTTGGTTATGTGCTTCGTCTTCGGTTGTGTTGTCAAGGCCGTTTTGCCCACTTGCTTTCTGGTGTTGACTCCATACATGCATTAAAATGACAACGGCACAAGGGCTGACGACTACTGATATGGGCTGGCACTGGTTAGGGAACGTGGTCTCCAACGTGCCCGAGGCCGGATACCGGGAGGGGCGTGGGGTTGCATGCCGTCATCTGTGGTCCATGGAGTGACAGCTTGGGCGGGCTCATGGCAACACTCGTGGCCACAGTAGCTTCCGCTTGGTGGCATGGCAGACGGCAGCGTTGGCCCGTATGTTCCGTCGGTCGGCCGCCAAGGTCACTGACGGCGATATCTCCAAAGGGCCCGCAGGTACTGGAGGGTACAGTGTGAGTGGAACCCAGCCCTTGTCGAACACCATGGAGCAACAGAATGAAGGCTACCGGATGGCTGGATGGGGTCAAGAATGGACCCTTGACACTATCGGTTCGCGGGAAGCGTTGCAGGGCTGTCTCGACAGAGTGACGATCCGATGTGGCGGGTGGACTGGCTGGAGCAAGCCTCAAGCAAACGTGGGGGGGTACGTGACGTCCAACATAAAAGCCACTGGTATCTTCAGAAGGCTTCCTTGATTAAGCTTCTGTGGTCGCCCGCCTAGGGTAGCAGGTAGGTGGGTTGTGTGGGACAGGACGTGTTGGTATGGTCGTTGTGAGAAACCTCACGGCCATGTAACGTCACACAACTGACCGAGGCGCCGTGGGACATTGGTCCTGTTATCGAAGGCTCGCCCCTGTCTCCAGCTTCCAGCGTCCATGACCACTAAAGTTTACTCCCCAGGCTCCCCGCGCCCACTGACAGATTACCCTGCCCTGCCGGCACGTCGAGTACAGCGCACGTTCCAGGTCCCCTCTTGTGCAGACTGCACAGACCTTTTTGCCCCACTCCTTCCATCAGAGAGGTCCTTGGTGTGTCCTCCCCATCACTGACCCAGCCGAGGCTCAGCCGATTCACCGAGCTACACCGTGGCTTGCTCGGGGCTATGGCGCCTCGACCACAGCCGCTCATGGTCCGATCCATCTCAAGCGACAAGCGGGAGTCAGCGACAAGTGAACAAGAGCGAACCAAACGCCGCAGCGCTGACAAGGCTCATCGCCGCGACCTGTGGCCTCTGGATACTTCCAAGGCCAATGGGCACACGCACCGCACGGGGCTATCTCAGAAGCCGATAGCAGCCATGGCGTCCAAAGCAAGTAAGGTCGACATCAAGCTCGATCCGATATGGGAGGACCTCGATTGGTATGTCAGCGGCTCCTCTGGTCTGGTGAAGCTCGACATGGAGTGCTTGTGACGTTGCGCATAACTGACTCTGTTACATGAAGGGCCATTGGGCAGATGCTCATTATGGGCTGGGATGGCACGGAAGTCACACCACAGATCCGCACCTTGATCGAGGAGCATCATCTGGGATCCATCCTTCTGACGGCTAAGAACCTCAAGTGTCAGTCCAACGTCTTTCGGATCTTTTGTCTGCTTACACTGGAATCTGCTTGCTAAAAATGACTAGCTGCCCACCAGACAGCCAAGCTGGTACAGGAGCTCCAGACTATCGCCCACAAAGCGAACCACCCACAGCCACTGCTGATCGCTGTAGACCAGGAAAATGGTGGCGTCAATAGTCTCTTTGATGAAGACTACGTCTGCCAGTTCCCCAGTGCCATGGGCATCGCCGCCACGGGCCGGGCCGAGTTGGCTTATGAGGTTAACAAGGCTACGGCATCTGCCGTCGGAGCCTGTGGCGTGAACATGATGCTTGGCCCCGTCCTCGACGTCCTCTCTAATGCCAGATATCAGCCTCTTGGCGTCCGCGCCACGGGCGACGACCCACAAGAGGTCTCGCAGTATGGAATTGCGGCAATGAACGGCATCAGAGATGCTGGGCTAGCCTGCTGCGGCAAGCATTTCCCGTCATACGGCAACTTGGACTTTCTGGGTTCCAGCCTCGATATCCCTATGATCACGCAGACACTTGAGGAGCTTAGCCTGAGCGCTATCGTTCCTTTCCGGAACGCCATTGCAACGGGGAAACTCGATGCCATGTTCGTCGGCGGATGCGGCATTTCTAATCCCTCCATGAACATTGCTCACGCTTGTCTGTCAGACCAAGTTGTTGATGACCTGCTTCGGAACGAGCTGGGATTTGACGGCGTTGCCATATCAGAGTGCCTCGAGATGCAGGCCCTGAGCCACGACATAGGCGTTCAGAATGGAGTGGTGATGGCTGTCGAGGCTGGGTGCGATCTCGTTCTGCTATGCCGCGCATACGATGTTCAGCTCGAGGCCATTCGAGGCCTGAAGTTAGGCCTCGAGAACGGCATCATCACCAGAGGAAGGGTCATGACATCGCTGAATCGGGTAGTCAAGCTCAAGTCAACATGCACCTCGTGGCAGACAGCACTCAACCCGCCAGGCGTATCGCTGTTATCAAAGCTCCGGCCTTCACATTTGGCCCTTTCCACAAAGGCTTACGACGACTCGATTACTGTCATAAGAGACAAGGATCAACTCATTCCACTCTCGAGGTCCATGGATCCCGATGAAGAACTTTTGCTTCTGACGCCCCTCGTCAAACCGTCGCCTGCATCCTCGCTTACGAAAAGCCTGTTGCAGTCGAAGGGAGACCAAAGCGGAGCACCACATATCCACGAGAAATGGGCACATCGAGACAGAGGTTCGATCATGAGCGGCGAAGGAGTCTTCAGAGACTTCGGCCGGTCGCTGGCTCGAGCCAGGCACGGCAAACTCCTCCATACAAGCTACACAGCGAATGGGGTGCGACCAGGTATTTACCTTTCTCCAAGAGTCGTAAACCACATACTGACTCGATGTTAGTCCATGAGAATCTAATTCATAGAGCATCAACAATCATCATTGTGACAGCAGATGCAAATCGAAACCTCTACCAAAGCGGGTTCACCAAGCATGTCGAGATGATGTGCTCAATGCTGCGATCAAGAGGACAGAAGAAGTCTGTCATGGTCGTTGCTGTCAGCTCCCCGTACGACTTTGCTCTGGATAAGACCATTGGCACCTACATTTGCACTTTCGATTTCACCGAGAACGCCCTGAACGCCTTGGTGCGAGCCCTGTGCGGAGACTTTGTACCAAAAGGTAGCTTGCCAGGGACACTGAGGAAGAGTAAGAAGGTTCTGAAGTCTCGTCAAAATTGGATTGTGGAGGAGTACGACCGAGAGCGAGACGCCGATGGCCTTCATGAGCTCATCAAAGCCACCGCACGAGCGAACTCGGCCGATCTCGGTTGCCTGGAAACAGCGACTGCAGCATCGTTTGAGCTCTTCAATCCGAAGATCGACGAGACGCACTTCGTTGTCCGGAACAGCAGTACAAACGCCTTGTACGGTTTCGCTGCCACGTATGCCATTGATAGGACAGGCATCCTCGGCGCCATATTCGTGGACCCTTCCAAGCGAAACCATTCTGTGGGACGATCTCTGCACCGAAGGGCCATTCGACACCTTACCAAGAAGCGAAGCATCAAGAAGGTCCAGCTAGGTACTTGCTTCCCAGGCATATTTCTCGGCATCCCCATTGGGGAGGGCATCGCCGCTTCCTGGTTCGCAAACAACGGTTGGGACATTCAATTTCCAAAACGCCTCACGAATCTTGTCATCAACGATTTGAGCACTTGGATTGTTCCTGAAGGTCTCTTGCAAGGCATCCAACGAGCGAGCATCAGCTTCGATCTGATTCATGGTCTCGATAACGGTGATGCCGAACGGGTTCTTTCTCATGTCAGCCAGCACGCAACTGCTGAGGTGCTAGAGCTGTATAGGTGTGCCCTTCAAGAGACAAAGGCTTGTGGTATAGTCCGAGCCAAGAAGGCAGATGATACTTTGCTTGGTACGATCATCATTTGCAGCCCTGGGAGCCCGCTGGCAACTTATGTCCCGCCATTGATGCCACGCCGTGGAGAAGGCATCGGTGGGGTGCTGGCGCCCGTCGTGCCACCGACATCCCAGGACGTTCTGGTGTTACAAGGGCTGGTGCTGATGGGCACACGACAAAACAAGGCGCACAAGTCGGCTAAGACGGTGCTCAGTTGGGTGAGTCGTCTCCTTTTTCGTACTCTTTCGGTACTGTCTAACACGTTTCTAGGTCCAGGATGCTGCCTACGAACATGTTGTTGCCATGGGCTTCGAGATTCTCCAGTCATTCGAGGAGATAACGAACACTCCAGATACAGTAAGAAGACTTGCATTGCCCCAGATGAATTGATGAACGCTGACACGTCGATCTAGTGGGCGGACCTGATATAATGAGAATGAATCATGTCTGTACTATGCACGTCTAATTGATGAGGCTTTCTCAAAGCCTAGCAGCCACCTTATCACACTCTAGCTCTGCTGAAATCAGTCATCGTTCTACATCTCCAGGCGTGCGGATGTCAGGTGATACGACACCTAGTATGGGCGTGGCCTCGGTCGCAACAGCGACAATCCGAACCGATCCTGCTCGATGCTTCGCATTCAGAGGCTGAATGCACAGCACAAATTGGGCTTAACAGTTTGCCGTTGGTTCCATCGGTGCAAGCCGGTAGCCGTCGCAGCGTGAATCGTGCCAACAACAGTCGCCCAGATTACTTAGGTTGAATCATGCAAGGGAACAGTCTGGAAGGCTTCCCGGTTGCCAAATCCACTGGCTGCCCTGGAGAGCGCTTTTCTCACCATGGCGTTTGGCGGAGTGCTGGCTTCGCCATAGACAGCAACTGCTAGGATATAGCTGTATCCAGCGTCTCGTCAACAGCCTCCATTTCTGCTGCGCAACGATCAGGAGAAGGGAGGGATGCAGTGCCAGGGCAGAGGGGTGGTCAACACGGATGAATGTCCGTATTCCGGGGACGTGTGTTAGTGAAACAGATGAGTCGTGCCTGACAGACTTGAATATGTGTTACTATCGGTTTGACATTTGGTTCCCAGACACATGGACATTTGCTTCAAGACCTCGTGTCTGTCTTTCAGGCAGCTCTGTTGAACGTTACGCATCCCTAAATCAGGATCAGGCTGCTGGAACAACATGCGCAAAATGGACTTGCGAGAGGCACTGCCGTGTGGCGGCCAACCCGCCGCAGCTCGAAGCTTGGGGCGAAATCTCGAGTCGGCCAATTGATTCTTGCCCTCCATTGCCTTGCTCCTATCCCAAGTGTATGGAGGGATCGCCAAGTTCAGATAGCCGACCCTGACGTCCGGCCAGCTGGGACGAAGAATGCACAGCACCAGAGGAACACCAAGACTGCAATCGGCTCGCGTAGCATGAGCCTGCCGATCTGAGATACGCAGAGTTGGCGAAACATTCGAGTCCAATAGATATCCTCGCAGGCGGCCGGCCGCTCCTCGTCTCATCTGAAGTGGGTGTGAGTTACTTTACCTTGGCGAGATCGCTCCTGCAATCCCGCCCTCAGCCCACACCCAAACATGCATCCACAGTCAAGGGTCATGATGGCCCAGTCTGGGTGACGAGACTCATCATTCGCATGCACCCAAGATCCCATCCGAGGGTACAATTTCTCCTCACCTTCAGGGCAAGCAGTGCAGCCAAGACCGCCTTCTTCATCTCCGTCTTTGCATTTCGACTGCACAGCCGGAAGGAGACCTCCATCGCCAGTTTCGTCGAGCGCATGGTGTTGGTGGTGCGTAGGGTCGTACTGCGCTGGCGGCTGGGTACCTGGCCGCACAGTGGGTGGGTTCAGCTTCTCCAAATCCTGCTTCAGGGGTAAGCTTGCGAGGACCACACAGCACTGCAGCACCCCGCCTGCAGTGGTTTGGACCTTGCGTCCATCCTATTCAGACCGCCTGCATGTTGGAGTAATAATGAGGAGAATGATTGTGTTCATGATCCCGGCAGCATTATCTGCTGTCGGCCAAGGCCTTGCTCACTTGTCGTTCCCGCTGGTTCCGCAATGACTTCTCTTACAGCTTTTGCAATTTGTGAGTCTTCAAGGTTATGTTCAGGATTTCAGCTTGAGAGTTATATCTAGAAGCACATTGCGGTTCGTGTCCACTAGCCAGGAATACGCGTATCGCCTTGCCGAGGTATCGTCATTGGCGCCCTGGTCAGCATTCTTTTGAATCGGTCTGGTTGTGACTTATGAGGTCAGACCTGCACACCTGCATTTGTCGATGAGACCTAGGGTTGACAGAAGTCTGGTATTTCTCATAGCTCTTTCGACCCACGACCACGTCAGACATAGATCGGACAATCCATAATCTCTCAGATTGGACTCATCCTCCAACAAAACGACTGGTGTTCGAGACGAAATTCAATGTACGTAACATCATCCTGGCTGTGTGGCACGTACTCTTCGCGCCCTTTTCAAGCGGCGCAGTGATTATGGAAGAGGCACAGAGTCGTGCCATGACGTCGTGAGCATGAAGGCTAGCCAGCGCACCCAAATCCCAACGTTGTTGTGAGCTTAATTCCCCGGATTGATCGTCGTGGAAAAGGCTCGTCTGTGCCCCTGATCGACCACGAAAGCTTCTTACTTCGGACTGGCCCCATGGAGGATTTGTTCGAAGGATTTTAACGATTTCCGTTTCGAGCGGTGAAGGCTCGTCATCTGGGCGGTAAACTTGGCACACCCCTGGCTTTTGACTTCCAAATACAGCATCGCGACCATGTGAATGCAGCCTTATAGCCTCGATGACGTAGCGAGTTTGCGAAACACAGCAAGTCGAGAGCTTGTGGCATGCCATGAGTGTGTGAACATGTCTATATATGTCAGATGGTCGATTTTCCCTACCTCAATAAAGTGAATCGACTCGAACGACCACCAGTCGAGGCCAGAAGAATACCTGCACCTATCCCGTCGACCCAAGCGCAACCACTAGAGGTCACATCGCCGAACAGCCCCCAAGTCCACATCTGAGCCACACCGCTATTTATCTCCTGATCGAAGAATCCAGCGACATAGCACGCCACCCAGCTATCCACAATGTCATCATGCGCCAACAGCAGTGCCATCATTGACGTGCAATCCCCGGGTGTCCCCTCTGGCGTCAAGTGGGTCTCAGCCGTCTACACAAACGAAACACTCTACGCCCTGCACAAGTGCTGTCCGTCGTCGTACATCCACCGGTCTGGCCTCAACAGCTGCGTCATCTGGTGCGAGCTGCTTGACGAGTGGTTGGACGAGTTCAAAGATGAATCCAAAGGGTCGTACTTTAGGAACATATCGAGGTGTATGGATAACGAGCTGGGCGACGAAAATTATTCCGGCCTGACCGCCGATACTCGCTCGGCTGCGATGCCTCGAGTTCACTCGACCGGTGCGAAGGGCCTCCTTCTTGCGGCCTTGGTCGTCGCTGTTGCTGCCTGCCAGTGATACGTTGGCTGAGCGCTGGTGTTGTCGGGCAAAGTCGTTGTTGCATGAGAGCATGGCGCATTCGGGGTTGGCGGCTTCTTTTTCTGATAGCGAGCGAGTTTAATCCATATTGGCTGCCGGAGCATCTGGCGTCTTTCGTACTTTAATTGAGGGGCGCCATATTCTCCATCAGATATATCAATATCTTGACTTGTGGAAAAACCAATTGGCATTCCGTTCGGTGATGGGAGTAACCGCGTGCTAGGAGCTGAAGGCTACCGTCACGTCTCCGGTTAGTAGCCGAGCTCACGGATGAACAAGCTACCAGTCTCCAAGACGGTCGGTTTGAAACCCCGGGCCACCTACCTCTCAGCTCCCAGATCGCATCGACCGCGAAGCTCGTCAATGCAAGCGCGATCAAAGTATCGTTAGCAACAAATGGCAGGGCTACAGACGAGCCCCGAGTCCCGCACCCTGCACACCACCACGCAAAGCGTCCACCAGTCCGGCGCCCGTCCCCGACCAGTAATTACGAAGCCCACCTGGCGGCCCGAAAACCTACAGCGACAGCGCAAAGAACAGTGCTGCAATTGCCACGACAAACAATGATGAGGCATATTACTGCGTGAAGACGAGTACTTCGTGAAGTGTGGAAGAGGATGCACAATCCCAGTGCCTTGTATGGTAAACGACTTGGCAAGGTAATCCAATGATCTGACCCCGGTATGCATTGAATATGTTCACAGCAAAGAAGCCGGACATCAACAAACCAGCCACTATGGCCGAGTGGTTAAGGCGTCTGATTCAAGATACTGAGCGCTAGCACAACTAGCGCAATCTTGTGCCCCTTAGGGGTATCATAACCAGATCTCGAGAGAGGCTCGCGTTCGAATCGCGATGGTGGCAAATAATCTTTTTGTCCGTTGTGCAAACTTTCAAAGTCATTTTTTGCCATTTATCGCTGAGTGGGATGATAGCACTCGAAGCTGGGCGCCGAGAGCAGGCTGAATGAGTTTTACTTTTCTGCGGCGGCCCTCTATGCCTACATGCCACGCCATGAGACAGGAAAACCCCATCACAGGCTGTTTATGCAACGCACCGTCACTGGATGCATACAACTAGGTGTGCCAGGTGAGAGTCTGAGAATGCAAGAGATGATTCAAAAATGCATCTTCATTCAATCAATGATTGGAAAGAGGAATAGAAAAGTCCTACCCAGGTATAAGTCTAACCACAAAGATGCATCATGCAGCAACGTCCATCCAAACACATCACTGCCGTTCGAGCCAAAGTCCCACCCACGCAAATCCTCATACCTTCTTTACTGTGAATTCGCCCTTCAGCGCTGAAGTATCCTTGACCTCGCCATCGGCCCCCACCTCGAGGATGCCGACCTCGTTGCCGTCATTGTCCACGAGCGACGCCTTGGCACCCTCCTGCGCACCGTATAGTCGCACCTCGACGTCCTCCGTGTAGTCGTACACGGCACCAATGGCCTTCTCGCTGCCGAGCACAAGCACCGTGTTTTCACGCACGTACAGAGGCAAAGTGCCAAAGCCGTGCGTCTCGGTGAACCAGCCGGGGCCATCGCGGGTCTCTCCCGTAAAGTACGATGTCCACTTGCCCTTGGGCAGGTAGAATTCGACTTCGCCCGACTCCTCAAAAATGGGTGCCGCCAGGATGCTGGGACCCACCATGAACTGGCGGTCGAGGTACCAGCTGGTCGGGTCGTCGGGGAACTCGATGCACATGGCACGCAGCGACAGCGGCAGGCCTTGCGCGATGGAAGCCTGTGCCTCGGCGAAGAGATAGGGCATGAGACGACCCTTGAGTGTGGTCCACTTGGCCAGCGTGCGGGAGCAACCTTCTTCTGACTGGTCGTCGTCATCCATGACCCAGGGCACACGGTACGAGCTGCTGCCGTGCAGGCGGCTGTGGCTGCAGAGGAGACCCATGGCCACCCAGCGCTTGTAGATCCACGCTGGCGGCTTACCTTCGAAGCCGCCAATATCGCAGCTCCAGAAGGAGAAGCCGCTGAGACCGAGTCCGAGACCGCCGCGGACGGACTCCGCCATGGCCTCTGGGGTGGACTCGCAGTCGCCGCCCCATTGCAGAGGGAAGCGCTGCGCGCCGGCGCAAGCTGTCCGGGCGTACAGGACGGCCTGATTTTCGCCGTATCTTGCCTGGAGAGCCTCGTAGACAATCTTGTTGTAAATGAAAGCGTAGTAGTTGTGCATCTTGTGTGGGTCAACGGTCTTGTCATGCCATTCGACGTCCAGCGTCGGGATGCGCTCGCCAAAGTCCGTTTTGATACAGTCGACGCCCTGGTCGAAGAGGCCGTTGAGCTTCTCAACATACCATGTAACAGCCTCGGGGTTTGTGAAATCTACCAGACCCATACCGGCCTGCCACAGGTCCCACTGCCAGACATCACCGTTCTTGCGCTTGACAAGGTAGCCCCTCTCAGCAGCTTCGCTGAAGGCGGCTCCGTATTGCGCAATGTAAGGATTGATCCAGACGCAGACCTTCTTGCAAAGACCAGACTCTTTGAGCTGGGCAATCTGTCCCTTGGGGTCGGGGAACCTCTCCGAGTCAAAGACAAAGTCAGTCCATGTGAAGGCCTTCATCCAGAAGCAGTCGTAGTGAAACACATCAACTGGCGAGCCACGCTCCTTCATGCCTTCTAGGAAGGACTTGACAGTATCCTGGTCATAGTTGGTGGTGAAGCTGGTGGTCAACCAGAGTCCGTAACTCCAGTTGGGCACCTTGCCGGGGCGACCTGTCAGAGTGGAGTACCTCTGGAGGACCTCCTTGGGGGTAGGGCCGTAGATGATGTACCACTTTAGCCTCTGTCCCTCAATGGCGGTCTGCACGCGGGTGCACCTCTCGCTTCCGATCTCCAGATCGACCCTCGCAGGGGTGTCGATGAAGATACCATAGCCCTTTGAGCTAAGCCAGAAAGAGACGTTCTTGTAGGCCTGGTCGCTAGAGGTGCCACCATCGGCGTTCCACAGGGAGATTGACTGGCCAACCTTGTTGTATGCACCAAACCTCTCGCCCAGGCCATGGACGGTCTCGCCGACAGCCAGTGAGGTCTGCGTGAACATGTAGTGCTTGAAGTCTCGCATATCCCCTGTCTGCATGGGGTTGCTTGGCGCGGGGCTGTATGCCAGGCCCACGCTACTGGCCTGCAGGGACGTGAGCCGCTTAGAGCCGTCGGCGCTGTGGAAGCGGATGTCAAAGTTGCTCGGGTCGACCGTTACAGCCAGCGAACCGGAAGTTAACGTCGTGCCCTTGTCGCTCGTGGAAATGGCTCCCGTGACCTCCGGTCTTCCCTGGGGGAATAGCTCAAAATGAGGTCCCTTGATCTGGGCACCCGCCCAGTGAGTCGCTTCGACAGAGATGATTCCATCCGCCTCGGCATTGACATCCTGCGCCACAATCAGCAAACGCACGGCAAAATAGATATGCGATTGGCACGATGCTTACCATGGTGATTGTGCTCCTGTTCAACGTGTGGCCGCGGCTCTCAATGGTCTTAGTCGGACACAACAGGTTGAGGCCCTTGCCATCAGGCTTCTCGTTGGTGTAGTAAACCTGCTCGGCGTGCTCAACCCACATGTTCTCGGCTGGCAGCCACATGCCATCCCTGAAGCGAGGCATGATGGGCAATATTGAAAAGAGAGGCGGACAATGGTTCGTGAGATGACAGACGGGGGTTTTGGCTCGGTCGATCTCAGGTCAGGTCACAATCCTGTCAGTTCCAGGGCGGACGGACGGGCACTGGTGAAGCAACTTTTTGTTCAAGGGACGAGGACAGACAGACGAGACGAGTGTGAGTTGTCTCTTGTAGGCCTTGTCCAAAGGCGGAGGAAAGGAAAATGGAAAATGAGCATCGCTGGCGTCGGCTTGGACACTGGGTTGAGTCGAGGCTGACATTGTGGCCTCCGGTGATAGCCCGGTGCGGTTGGCGAATTGGGGTCAAGCAATCCCGCCGTACCCGCTTTGCAGCGAAGCTTAGAGCGACGGAGACGGACCAAGTTGTGCGAATCATGTGAGGTGAGATGCCTTGGGGTCACTGGAGAAACCTTCGGGTTCCATTGGCACGGCGGGCGGGCCGGTGCAGCCAGGCGGCTTTAACGGGGCTCGAGAGGTGTCTGGAGAGGGCAGATGAGGGGAAGCTTCGGCTCGTTGGAGGGGCGTCGTTCAGTTGAGGAGGGCGGGGAGGCGCGCTTGGCTTGCTCGGATCTGCAAGCGGAGCTCCCACGCGTATCGCGACCGTCGGCGACTGTTAGCTGCTCAATGGAGATGGCAGTCAATTGTACGTGTGTTAGTGAGGATCAGTCAGCAACATCTTCGACTCTGACAGTTGATGGCTGTGCCATATGTGACGAGGAGAGACCAGAAAACCACTGGTTGCAGTGGCCAGCGCCAGGTGATGGATGGGCAAGATCCGAATATGCAAATCTGAATTCGAGGAACCCACCCCGCCATCAAAGGCGGGATTGTGCGGAGAGGGCAAGAAAGGAAAGGAGGCCAGAGTCCCCCTGCCCCCTCTTTCTGCGGCCTGCCGACAACCTTGAAGCGTCGGGTATCGGGTTTGAACCGTCCTCGTGGTCATTTGTGGGAGACCAGGGCCATACAGGAGATGGCATGGGATGGCTCTGATGCCTGGACGCGATGGAAGGAATTAACAGGGGCACGAAGGGATGAACAGGATAAGAGTGGAGGATGGAAGATGTGGAGGACAGGCAACTGGTGATCTGCCGACCCTTGGCTTGGCTTTGGGAGGGGAGAAAGAGAGTGAGCGAATTGCCCAGTGGCAGGCCAGCGGTTCTCAGAGCCTCGGACCCCCTTCTGCCGCTCTCTGGCCATTGGTGGGAACATGGCCGTCTCGGGTCCACTCCCGGCTCCGCCAAGCACCGGCTATTCGACATGTTCGACTGTAGGTAGGTACTCCTGGTGTTGTGGGTAGCTCCTGAGTTGTGCACAGTACAGGGAAAGAGAAAGAGAGTAAGGCGAGGCAGGTGGTGCCTGGACCCCTGTACCCCGGACCTTCTCCAACTGCCATCTCGGCTCCTGCTTTATATGCTTCGCAGAGGGCACCGACCACTATCGACAGTCGACCTCCCACGCCCATCCCAACTCCAACTTCCCCTCATCAAAAACACGCTCAAGACTAGGAACAGGCCACAGGCCACATCGGGCTACTGCACCAAAACCATGCAACAACGGCCATCTTCTCCTCATACGATCAACGCGCCCCTCGACTCGCGCAGGAACTGCCAGGGGCTGTGCTACCCCGTCCAATGGCGATGACCCAAGGCCGCAGCTCTCTGCACCGATACTCTTCCTTGATCCCCAGACCAGCACCCTTGAGCCCTTGTGATTTCCACCCCAGATCTACCTTCACGAGGTCGTTGAAGATCGATGCGGAGTAGGTTTACCGTTGTCAGCGGCAGCAGCCTTTTTTACCGGAATGAAGTCATTTCTGGATGCTATCCTTGGCCGCAGACCACGAGGAAGTCAAGGTCTTGGGTAGTAGTCAGGCACAAAAGAATGACATATTAATACCCCCCCTTTCCCGCGTCGGTCCCTCGAGATTTTTTGATTTTTTCTTGGTCCGAGAACGAGAAGCGTCATTGTCGTTCACGCCCTTCCCCGTCTCCGTGTCTCTGCGACCTTTGTACCTTCCATCATGAAGTTCACCTTCGCTACCGGAGCTTCGCTCCTTATGGTGGCCGCTCAGGCCCAGAACTCCTCATGTGTTCCCGTCTACAAGAACCCGAACGCCGATGTCGATGACCGAGTCTCCGACCTCCTCAAGCGCATGACTGTCGAGGAGAAGACGGCCCAGCTCATCCAGGGTGATATTCGCGACTACCTCAACATTACTGATGGTCGCTACAACGAGACCGCCATGGAGTGGATCGCCACCAAGCGCGCCAACTCTATCTGGACCGGTCTCTTCATGAACCGCACCATGGTCAGCCGTGGAGCCAAGCTCGCCCAAGACTACCTCGTCAACGAGACGAGACTGGGTATGTTCTCCCTGTCCTCAATGCAAAAGCCGATTCAAGCGTACTGACCCATCTAGGCATTCCCGCCTTCATCCAGAGCGAGGGTATTCACGGCTTCCTCGCGATCAATGCCACCATCTTCAACTCCCCAATCGCCCACGGTTGCGCCTTCAACCCCGAGCTCATTGAGAAGATGGGACGCGTCATTGGTGTCGAGTCGCGCGCTCTCGGTGTCAACCAGATCTTCGCGCCCGTTGTTGATCTGGCCCGTGAGATGCGCTTCGGTCGTGTCGAGGAGTGCTACACTGAGGATCCCTACCTGTACGGCCTCCCTATGACTTTTACATGAGAGTCTGGCTGACAGTATTCCAGGGCTGGCGAGTACGGCTACGCCTACGTCAAGGGTCTTCAGGAAGAGAAAGTGTGTGCCATGGTCAAGCACTTTGCTGCTTTCGCCACCCCCGAGCAAGGTGTCAACACAGCTCCTGTGCACGGAGGTCAGAGGGAGCTTCGCACCACATATCTTCCTCCCTTCAAGCGCGCCATTATCGATGCCGATGCCTGGTCCGTCATGAGCTCCTACAACTCCTACGATGGAGTTCCTACCATCGCGGACCACCACCTTCAGGAAGAGATCCTCCGCGAGGAGTGGGGATACAAGAACTACATCATCGTAAGCCAATCTCTCATCTCATGATGCGGGACATCCCCTCTAATAATATGGTGTTAGTCCGATGCCGGCGGTACCGCTCGTCTTGTCGACGCCTTTAAAGTCTGCGCCGCCGAGCCCTTCGACCACGAGTGCGTCACGACCAAGACCCTGCCCGCCGGTAACGATGTCGAGATGGGTGGTGGCAAGTACAGCTTCGAGCACATCCCTGAGCTCATCGAGCAGGGCAAGCTCGACATTGCCACTCTTGACCAGGCTGTCTCTCGTGTTCTCCGCGCCAAGTTCCTGACTGGCCTCTTCGAGAACCCCTACACCGCTGTTGACGAGGATGAGCACTGGGACTACATCAACACAAAGGAGCACAAGGCTCTGGCTCGCGAGATTGATGCCGAATCCATTGTCCTGCTCGAGAACCACGAGAATGTGCTGCCCATTTCCAAGAAGGCTCACGTTGCGGTTATCGGTCCCATGGGTCACGGCTACGTCAACTACGGTGACTATGTCATTCACGAGGCCATGACCCGTGGTGTGACTCCCTTTGAGGGTCTCCGCGATGCCAGCGAGGGCACCGTCACTTTCACTCAGGGTGGCGACCGCTGGTCCAACTCGGATGAGAAGTTCCCTGAGGCCATCGCCGCTGCCGAGGCCGCCGATGTCGCCGTCGTTGTCGTCGGCACCTGGTCTCGCGACCAGGATGAGCTTTGGGCCGGTCTCAACGCCACGACTGGTGAGCACATTGATGTTTCCGACCTCAAGCTCGTCGGCATGATGCCCCGTCTGGTCAAGGCGATCATCAAGACTGGCACCCACACCGTTGTCGTCTACAGCTCTGGCAAGCCCATCACCGAGCCTTGGATCTCCGAGGAGGCCGCCGCTCTCGTGCAAATGTTCTACCAGGGTGAAGAGGGTGGTCACGCTCTGGCTGATATTCTCTACGGCGATGTCAACCCCTCTGGCAAGCTCTCCGTTGCCTTCCCCTACGACATCGGCACCGCACCCGCGTACTACGACCACCTCAACTCGGCCCGCAGCTGGCCCAACCCTGGTCGCATCTACCCCAACGGCACCCTTGTCTTCGGCAGCAACTACGTCTTCAACAGCCCTCTTCCCATGTATGAGTTCGGCTACGGTCTCTCCTACAGCGAGTTCGTCTACTCCGGTCTTGAGGTTTCGACCAAGACTCCCTCTGCCGACGAGACGATCACCGTTTCCGTCAACGTGGAGAACAAGGGCAAGCACGACGGCAAGGAGGTTGTTCAGGTCTACATCAAGGACCTCGTTGCCTCTGTCGATGTGCCCAACATCAAGCTCAAGGGTTTCAAGAAGGTCAACATCAAGGCCGGTGAGACTCAGAAGGTTGAGATTGAGCTCGACGTCGGCGAGTGGGGTCTTTGGAACCCCAAGATGGAGTATGTCGTTGAGCCTGGCGAGTTCCGCATCCTGGTCGGTAGCTCCAGCGCTGATTTCCGTGCTAACACCACGGTCACTGTTGCCTGAGTGGGGGGGGGGGGGGATCAAGTATATAAAACAGGTGGCCTGGCTTTGACCAGGTAATTGATGAATAATAGCTTTTCTTAATATAAACCGACATGGTCGTTACTATGCCACTAAGAAGAATTGCCACAGCTCGATTTGTATTTTCAATACTCGCATGCCTCTCACAAGTCAACTAACGCCGCCGATTTTCCTCGCCCTCGTTTCGTTGAACAACCAACCTGCCACCATCACAACGCTTCACCAAACGCCGCCCCTCGTTGACAAACGACCTAGAAGTTATCCTTTCCGGTGAACTTCTCGTTCTGCACAACCTCGATCCAGTAGTTATCGGGGTCCAGCAGGAAGGCCACGTTCTTCATACGGCCGTCCGTCAGCCTCTTCTTCCAGTTGCAGTTCAGCGACTCGAAGCGCTCGCACGCGGCATCAATATCGTCGACGGTGACGCAAATGTGGCCGAAGCCCTGCGGCTGGTCGTTGCCGTTGTGGTACTTGAAGTCGGCCTCCTTCTCGGTGCCGTGGTTCCACGTCAGCTCGAGCACGCCCTCGCGCGTGGCGGTGCCGTCGCCGTCCTTGTTGTAGCCGAGGAAGAAGAGGGTGAAGCTGCTGGACTCGTTCTTGCGCAGCAGGTTCATGCCGAGGACGTCGCGGTAAAAGGCGAGCGACTTGTCGGCGTCCTTGACGCGCAGCATGGTGTGGTTCATGCGGTAGGTCGACACGTCCGTCTCGGCGACGCCCTCGGTCGCGGCGACGTCGTTCCACGTGATGAGCTCGACCCAGTAGCCGTCGGCGTCCTTGGCGAAGGCGATGTGGCGCATGCGGCCCTCGGACAGCTTCTTCTGGAACTCGTAGCCCGCCTTCTCGATGCGGTCGCACGCCACCTGGATGTTGTCGACGGCGATGCAGAGGTGGCCGAAGCCGCGGTGGGGCTCGGTGTTGCCGTTGTTGACGGTGTAGCTGGCGTCGTCCTCGGTGCCGTAGTTGTGCGTCAGCTCGATGAGCCCTTCGCGGTCGAAGACGGAGGCGCCTGCCGAGACGGCCTTGGGCGAGTCGTAGGCCAGGAAGTAGAGGTCAAACTTGGCCTCGGGCTGGCGGATCGTCTTGATGACGGTCATGCCGAGGAGCTCGTAGAACTTGATCGACGCCTTGGGGTCCTTGACGCGGATCCTGGGGGGGTGGTGGTGGTGGTCAGGAGGGGAGAGGTTTGTGCTCAAGATCAGAGATGGGCTTACATGGAGTGGTTGAACTTGTAGTTCTTGGGATTCGTGGTGCCTGCCATGGTTGCGAGTTTGTGAAAGGGTTGCGCTAGAGTTCATTGTCAGGGACCATATGGGTATGAGCGTGAGTGAGATGGCAGGAACCGACCTGTGTGGATGGTGGGTTTGTTGAGGTGAGCTTGGGTGAGACGCAGTCGTTGCAGGCCGCGAAGAGAGAACATGTACGTAGCAGTAGCTGTCGTGAATTGCTATGAAGGGGGGCTCAATGGCAGAATTGAGTGGATAGTGGGCAACTTTTCAGGTGCGATGCGAGGCAGAAGGTCCTGTCTTCTTGTTCGGGTCACAATGCCGAGGGCGCGAGTTGGGGTGGTTGTATGGCGTGAAGTACTGGAGCTCCGTTGCGGATACCCCGCAATCAGCTGGTGGTACAGCACCAGATAGTAGACCGCCGCCACCCATGATGATTACGCTCATATGACTGTCACATGAAGCAGCTCCCACAAGTTCTTTGACGATCTGGAAGCTGACATTCCACGCAATCATTGGCATCGCATCAATGGCGCACTCAGACACCAGTGCTCCTGATGCTCACAATTGGTGAGCAGCTTACCTCAGCAGAGAGACTGGCGTTCTGCCGCTCTCTCTGCTATCTCTCACACCGCCTGCCCCATGAAAATGACCCCTCCAAATTACCCCGCCATCCATGTCAGTCCACTACCAGTGACGGACGGTATCGGAACCTTACGGGCAGCGCTTAATGGGCAGTGGAAAATATTTTGAGATCGCCAGCCTGTGACGGTTGTACTCACACCTCATATCACTCACTCGCCTCCAATTATCCATTGAACCCATCCGATTTCCTCATCATGGCTGGCTACGACACATACAGCACGGTGCTAAGCAAGCGCTACCCCTCGGAGGAGATGAAGACCATCTTCTCCGAGCGCAACCGCATCTCAACCTGGCGCACCCTGTGGTACAACCTCGCCGCCGCCGAGAAGGAGCTCGGTATCAAGTCCATCACAGACAGTGCCCTCGAAGCGCTCAAGGCCAACATCAAGATCACCGACAAGGCCTTTGATGTCGCCAAGGAGGAGGAGAGGATCCGCCGCCACGATGTCATGGCCCACGTCCACGCCTATGGCATCGATGCTGGCAAGGAGGCTGCCGGTATCATTCATCTTGGTGCCACATCTTGTAAGCACAGGCCGATACAAGACTCGGGTTGCAAAAAAAATTCTAATGCACTAGATAGGCTACGTCACCGACGGTGCTGAGCTGATTCTGATGCGCGATGCTCTTGACCTGCTCATCCCCAAGCTCGCCAAGGTCATCTCCAACATACAGCAGACCGGCTTGGCTTGGAAGGATGTTCCTTGCCTGGGCTACACTCACTACCAGGCTGCGCAGCTGTAAGTCAATTACCTTCATGTCAGGCAGTCTGCGTTTCATCGTAGGCTTGCTGCGATACCGGAGTGGCTACAGCTTCTGCACTTGTAGCACTCGAAAACATTATGCGCTGACATGAACCCAGTATTACTCAGGGCAAGCGTCTGGCTCAGTGGGCGCAGGATCTCGTGTCTGACCTCGAGAACCTCGAGCGCGCGCGCGCCGACCTCAAGTTCCGCGGCGCCCAGGGCACCACTGGCACTCAGGCCTCCTTTGTCGAGCTGTTCGAGGGCGATACCGCCAAGATTGACCGCCTCAACGAGCTCCTCTGCGAGAAGCTCGGCTTCCCTCAGTGCTACGACATCTCTACGCAGACCTACTCTCGCAAGGTCGACCTGAATGTGGCCAACGCCGTCTGCGGCATTGGTTCTACTGTGCAGCGCATCACGGGTGACATCCGTCACCTTGCCAACCTGAAGGAGATGGAGGAGCCTTTCGAGTCGACCCAGATTGTGAGTCTGACGAAAGAAACTACCGTGTCTGACTTTGCGCGCTAACACATAGTCAGGGTTCGAGTGCCATGGCCTACAAGAGGTACGAGATGTCTCGTTATCTCCTACGCAACCCGTTGCTAACAAGCCCAGGAACCCCATGCGCAGCGAGCGCATTGCCTCTCTTGGCCGCAAGCTCATGAGCCTGCCCATCAACTTTGCCAACACATACGCCTCTCAGTGGTTTGAGCGCACTCTTGACGATTCGGCCATCCGTCGCATGGACATCCCTGAGATGTTCCTCCTCGCCGACAGCATCCTGAACACCATGGACAACGTCACCAATGGTCTCGTTATCTACCCCGCGCGTATCCATGCCCATGTCATGTCCGAGCTTCCCTTCATGGCCAGTGTATGTGATATTGTTCTTTTCCCTCCAATACTTTTATGGGGCCGCAGTAGCTTTTGCGAGTGCCACTTGGCAACGCGAGGCCGGCGCCTACGCGGTCATGTCGAAATTATGCATGAGAACCGACAGGCGGCTAACAATTCGCAGGAGAACATCATCATGAAGCTGTCGACCCACGGTGTGTCCCGCCAGGATGCGCACGAGGAGGTCCGCGTGCTGTCCCACCAGGCCAGCGACGTCGTCAAGCAGCAGGGCGGCCAGAACGACCTCATTGAGCGCATGAAGAGGACCGAGTTCTTCAAGCCCGTCTGGAACGAGATTGATGACATGCTCAAGCCTGAGCTGTTCACAGGCCGGTCCGCTGAGATCGTGGAGCGCTACTTTGGACCCGAGGGACCTGTCGCGCAGAAGCTGGCGCCGTACAAGGAGTACATTGCCAAGACCAAGCCCGTTCAGCTGTCCGTATGAGGTAATGGATGTGTTCCTGGTAGGTAGACAAGGACGACGAGATGGAGAGAAAAGCAATGATGGCATGACAGCGGCGTTTGGGCTGGATCCCCGAGCGGGACCTCGCAAAAAGGTATTTAGAAAATCGGGATAGGTAGAAGAAAAAGAGCGACTTTTGAAACTGGATGTTGCATAAATCCCCCAATGGCTCAAGAGCACGACCGGTTCCATGGGAATTGGCTGTCTCGATGACCGCTTTCAGCATGTGTGAGTGGGGTCCATCTGGTCGCTCGAAGCAGTCTGGCTGAGACAGGGAAGGCCACAGCCGAGCGCGAATCTCTCGAATAGAATTAGGGAAAATCTTGATGATCAAGCCACCCCCAGAATGTCGTTCCTGACCACAACATCAAGACAAAAAGGTCGTGTCAAAGGATGGGAATTGAGATGGGCCAAGTGGGCCAGGGAGGATGATGGCGGGGAGACCGCGGCGCGTCTAGTGACGCCTTTTGGCCCGGTAGGTTACTAGGTAGGTATCTACCTAAGGTCCTAGGTAGGTTGCTACCTAAGGTCCTAGGTAGGTTGCTACCTAAGGTCCTAGGTAGGTTGCTACCACTGCGGGCACATTACGTAGAGGCCCAAGTCCCCCAGATGCCAGCCGGGTAGGGCGTCCCAGAGTTAGCCGCCGTCACTCGACGACTCTCATCTCTGCTCTGTGACATGCCTTCCTTCCTTCCTTCCTTTTTCATCTCCGCCAGCTTTTCTGAAGCGCCAGAGCTTCAATCATGCCGACTTCATCTACGGATACTCTCAAATCAAGCCCTGTATCACCAAACGCCTGACACGAGAGATCTTCGGCGCTGCCGTGTTTGTGCGCCCATCCAGCTGTAGTGGACGAGCCATCTATCTATCTCGTTCCTTGTTCCAGATCTTTCGAAACAACATCTCGTCCGCCCGTGCTGGCTACGCGGCCCACGGCTGACATTCGCAAATTACCATCATGATGAACCGGCCGAGTTTTCAGCCGATTGACTACGAGGAGGCCGTCATGGACGATGCAGAAATACTGGGCCTCGACACCCGTGGAGACATGGCCCAGGCTGCAGCACCAGCGGCAGCAGCAGGTACCACCACCGTGACCAGGTCGCCCTTGTCCAAACTGCGATCTCTCTCCGACGGCGGCGGCACGCCTGCGAGGCTGTCACCATCTCCGCTCATCCTCGAGACGACGGGCAAGGCGACGTCAAAGGACGACAACCACATCAGAGACACCGCAATCGCCCCGAGCACGCCCCGTCGCGTTGATTTTACTCCCAAGGGCCTATCACTACACATGCCGCCGCACCAGCGAGACTTTGCCTCTCCGCCACCGCCTTCTGCCGCCGCCTCTGCCGTATTCACCAAGCCAGCACCTTTATCCCCCAAGCTCGACCATTCGTACGCCAGTCCGACAAACATCCTGCCCCGTCGCTCCCGCGGCCTCGACTTCTCCCGCGCAGCCACCAGCCTGCACCACTCGACCCTCGCCGAGCAGTCCTCCCCCGACTCCTCCCCGACCATCGGCGGCGGCCGCGCCATGAACATACCCCAGCGACGGAGCAACGACTACAACAACGCCGAGCAATTGTCCAACTCGCTCTGGTCCATGATGGGCAACCAGGAGCGCATGAACATATCGAGCTCCTTGGGCAGCGCCCACCCGTTCGCCTCGGATTCCTCATCCGATGACGACATGGACGAGGACATGGACGACGCAATCGTCACGACACCGCAGGTCAACCGAACCGGCGGACCGCTCGGCTCACCAGCGGTCAACAGCCTTCTGAGCTTCCAGCAACGCCAGCGCCCACGGAAGCAGCCGAGAAAGAAGAGTCGGGGGCCCTTGGGACTCGGCTTCGGCTCAGCCTCAGCTGGCGCGCTCTCCAAGTCACCGCCCATTGCCAAGGATATCCCCATGTCCCATTCACGACGCGAGAGCATCAGCTGGCAGGCGAACCAGCTGCACATTTCGAGCGCCGACGAGGACAGGATGGGCGGCGACAGCATCAATGGGGTCATGGGCATCTCTGGCCAGAAGCCGCGGCACACCATCATGCGGCAGGTCGCCGCGCGGCGAGGAAATCTCATGGTAAGACACTCTTTTTTTCCTACACTTTTCACATTCTTTTCTTGCTAATGCACTGCACAGCCCAAGACGAAAAACTTTGCCCGCATCAAGCACGCACTCCTCGAAGAAGGTGCGCCTGTGGAGACCGAGGTGCTCCGCGAACGTGAGGTCATACGACAGGTCCGCGAGAGCGACGTCGACCTCGAACCTAGAACTACCACCGCCCAGTCTTCGCCCAACCTGGTGAACCAGGACATCGACGAAATGCCTGGCGAAGACATGAACATGAACCCCGACCAGGCAGGCCTTTCCAGTAGTTTCAAGCAGCAAGCTATCAAGAATTCAAAGGGCGCCAAGTTCTGGGACACGTTCTCCGAGTCGAGCAGCATCGGCAACCGGACGACGCCGCCGCCGCCGTCCTTCAACCCCCGTGGCTCGTCCTCCGGCGTCAGCGAAGACATCAACATGGACTCGCCTTCTCTCGGTGCCACCGCCAGCTTCGCCATGGCCGCAAGCAGCGGCGAGTCGACCAAGGGCGACACGCCCAACGTCTCGCAGCCCGCCTTCCCACAGCAGTCGCAGCAGGGCCCCAGTGCCGCTGAGATCACCCGCCGCATCAACAGCAAGCGGCGCCGCGAGGACGACTTTGACCCTGTCAGCTTCAAGCGCCGTGCTGTGAGCCCTGGCATGAGCGTCCACAACTCGCCCATCATGCAGAGCCCGCGGCAGCGAGAGAGCGCGCCGTGGGGCTCTCGACCGGGCAGCAACGGCGGCGAGAGGGCTGACCGGGGCGGCAGCGGGGCAGCGAGCGACACGGGGAGCGGGAGTCTCGGCGGCACGCCCGGGAACGGGGGCCGTCTGAATGGAGGCAAGGGACGAGTAGGGTTCCAGGGCATGGTAGATACGAACGACCACCTGATGCGTATGAGCATCGAGTGATGGGCAGTGGTGGGGTCTGTATTTTGATCGGCATCTACGCGGAGGCGGTTTGCTTTCTCGCGTGGTTTTATTTGGCTGGCTATGCTACGTCACGGCGTTTGGGATCATATTGGAGGAGGGCTCATGCAGCCCCTGGCGTAGACTCGGCGTGGGGTCTTGGTATCTGACAGCATTACCGGGTATGGCTGAAAGCAGTCTTTTTGATAGCGAATACCACTCTGCTTATGATTTATGGGATCGTCGGTTTCGTGTTGCGCATCATCTTGCACGCATGCGAATTGAGTCAAGGCACAAAGGGGATTTGGTATGACTTTCTCATCCATTGAAATAGCTAGACCCCCGTCTTTGGGTATCTCCGCAACGCCAGAAACGCCGTCACCCCATGATCCTCTCCTTCTCGTCAAAATGTCAAAAATTTCACATCCCATCAAAAGGCCATTATAGTGCACCCACCGCTCCCACACAGTTTCCTGACGAGGACTGCTCACGAAAGGGGACACAGCGGCTCTACTCAACGCCAACGCCCTCCTCCGGAACCCGCAGGCTGCCCAGCTTATCATCCAGCCACCGCGCCAGCTCCTCGGCCTGCCTGCGCATCGCGACGACGGCCGCGCCGCCCACGCTGCCGGCGACGCTGCTCGCGACGCTGACCGTCGTCGCGGCCCCGGCGCTGAGCACGCTGTCCCTGTCATCGGGCGACGCGGGGGTCAGGCCGCCGTCGGCGTGCTGACCGGCGTGCGGACCGGTGGCGGCCCCGGCGGCATCCTCGGGCAGGGGCCCGATGCAGACGAAGAGGAGGCCGCACTTGAGCCTGCGGATGAGGAGCACGCCGTGCGAGAGCTGGACCGTGATGGCGAGGGGTTTGGCGGGGCGGGCAGCGGCGTCGGGTTCGGCGGCGGAGGACGAGGAGAGGGACGGCGGCGTTGCGGATTCGGGGAGCGCCGGGGCGAGGGCGGGGTCTGCGGCGGCGTGGAGGGCGTAGAGGGAGGCTGCTACCGTGGCTTGGGTGCGCAGCAGGGCGACGGGGGAGGCGGATTGGGTTGTCGTCGTCGTCGGCGGCGAGGCTGCTGTCGCCGTTGTCGACGTGTTGCTGTTGGTGGTGGTGACGGAGCCGCTTCCAACCGCTGGGGCGGGAGCCAGAGGGACGGCGGGCGTCGAGGCGTGGGCGAGGAGTTTGCCGGAGGGGGTTGTGAGAAGGGCGGCGTGGAGGGTCGGTGAGAGGTTTGCGGCGAGGAAGGCCGTGAGGCGTTTCGTCAGCAGGAGAGGGGGCGTTTGGGCGGACATGGTTGTTTTCTCTCTGTTGCTGGCTCTGTCGAGGGTGGCCTGTTGTTGGGCTTTGGAGGCGAGTGATTGCGCGCTGTGGGCCTGGGGTTGACGATGCCGCGGTCGCGGAGTAGGTCGCCGTGCTGTTTATTTTTGATGGCCTCCCGCGGTGGAAGCTTCGGAAGCTCGAGGCGATGAGCAGCAATTCGTGCTGAGCTCGCGAGGGGGAAGCTTGTTTTGTGACGTTTGCTGGTGCTAGGGAGGAATTGACTTGAGGTGCTGTCAAGCGGAGAGCTGTCTCAAGACGACAACCAAGGCAGGAAGAGGAAGGGTGGGGTCATGGAGCTGGTCTGTGCGGGGATGGAGCTCGCGGGGCAGCACCGACCCATACCTACCTCCTGCCTAGTAGCGAGATCATCGTTGGACATCATTGGATTTGAGAAAGAGGAAGAGAAAAGACAGCCAGGTGGATTAAACCCAGGTCTGTGAATGCCCAATATCTTTAGGAGGAAGAACCCCGAGCGCTCTGCCACTGAGCCACGGCTTCGGAGGCTTGGGAGCTATGTTGTTTATCTAGGCCCCCTATTCCTTTCGAGTTCATGGAGCTGATGAGGGAATCTATGGCCTCTATCCAGAGTCCTAGAGTACTTGTTCATGTCTATCGAGAAATGCTGCCGTGGGCTTCACTCCATGTCACTCAATACAATCACATCTGTCCCAAAGAAGCAAACTATTTCCAAGCGCACCATAAGAAACAACAGCAACGGTTCTCCGTCAAGTCGAAGCCTCCGAAGCAGAGTCACTGTCGTCATCCTCCATCTTTTCCTCAGTCTGATCCAGCCCGTTCAGCACCAAGAACCGCCTCCTCGCATCATCGCGCACGTCGACGTACTCCCGCCCCTCCCCCGTGTCCGTCTTCCAGCTCGCATACAAGCTGTCAATCTTGCCGCACAGCTCCACCGAGCCCCTCGCCGAGAACTTCCAGTCCCAGTCAAAGAGCAGGCGGACCGCCTTGAGCAGACCCTTCGAGTAGTCCATCTGCGCGAGGACGTCGTCAATGTTCACAGTCTTGGTGCCGCACTTGACTGCGCACACGCATGGCGGCCCCCACTTGGGATGCGTGCACTGGGACATCTTGATGACCTCGCGCACGTGCTCGCACCCGCCGTAATCGCACCTACACGTCTTGTCGAGGTCGAGGTCGCCCCAGCGGTCGAGCTGGTCCGACTCGGCCTCCTCGAGGAGGCAGTACGTGTCGGCGCAGGCCGTGACATGGACGCACCCCGCGGCGCACCCGGCGCAGGGATCGCGGCTCGGGAGCTCCCGGGCTGTCATCATGCGGTACAGGACGGCGCCGAGGGCCCAGTGCTCGTCACTGAGGGTGTACATGCGATGATTCTGCGGTTCGTCAGCGTGGGCATCCAAGTGAAGCAATCGTGGTTCTCACCTTTTGGCCATCACGGGTGTACTTGTCCATCGACTTTCGCATCTCGACGAGGCTGACCTCGCGCGTTGCTTCGAGATGGCTCGGCTCCGCGTGCGGTGCCATGATCTGCCCAAACGCATTGCTTATGGTGGGCTCACCCCGGGCGCCCTTGTCGTGCCGCGATGCCGGATGGCCCGAGACGAATGCCTGGCCCCAGTGGCCGAGCTTGCACTGCCCGTACAACTCGGCGCCGCGCGGGTTCTGGAACAGGATGGACGCCGGGGTGATGGCGCGGTGTAGGATAGGCATCCAGTCCGTGTCCGTTTTGGTCCACATGTGCGTGCCCGCCTTCCAGTCCACGTCGTGACGGTACCCATCGTGCGCCCAGGCGAGGGCACGCATGACCGACGTGAGGACGTGCCAGCAGAGTGACTCGGGCATGAAGACCCTGCGGTTCTTCACCTGGGGGTTCTTGTCGACGAGGAGAGCCTCGAGGTTCCCGGCATCGCAGTTGTCCCAGACGAGATAGTCCTCTGTCGCTTCGACATCGCTAAAGGGTTTGGCGTTGAGCGGCTTCTGGCGCAGGTAGCCGGCTAGCGAGACAATGTTCTCGTGGTTGAAAATGTGTGAAATCTGCCGGCCAAAGTTGAGTTCGTAGACGAGGTCCAGGAGGCCCTTGGCATGGCGCTGCTTGGTCGTCAAGAAGCCGGGATTTTGGTGTTGCGACTTGTAATACTCGTCAAAGTCGTTGATCCGCCGCGCGACGAATATCTCGCCATCAGCGTGTCGACGCGCAAGCCAGCGCGACTCACCCAACTTCTTGACGAGCTCAAAGTCTTGAGGCTCCTCCATCGGGTGGTCAGTGTCGGATTGCATCGTCAGATACTGTTCAGCAGTAGATGTTGTCGCTTTGGGGGCACTTTGTCAAGTGTAAACGCCTTGCGAAGGCCATCAAGAGGAAGGTCTGCCACGGACATTGCTGGATAGGAAAGCAGCAGCATATCACGAAGAAGAGAGCGCGACTGAGTTGTCAGACAAAGACATAGAAAGCTGGCGCTGGCCCTTTGTCTGGGACCTTGGGATAACTATTGCCAGCGTCAATGATGCCTTTGTCTAGGTTGACGTTGTAAGTCTAGGACGCCCAGCCATGAACGGAACGTTTGTTCCTGGAGGGTGTAGGCCTCAGCCATCATCACATGAGAGACATGACTAGAAAGACGTCGTCGAGTCAATTGGCCCTCCTTGCAGTATGGGGCTGGGCTGGTAAGCAGCACTGTTGACGAGGTTACTTTCTGTGGTCGTAGTTTGCCACGAGAGGGAAAATGAGATGAGAGACATCAGGCTGAATCCAAACGACTGTCGAGTGTTTCTCTTGGCGTCTAACCAGAGGCGCCTTTCTTTGACTGGTGTCTTTTGACGTTTTCTTAGGCGTGGCTGCAAGGGAGGCAACCCAGAACATGGCATAGCCGCGCGGATTACAGCAGCTTGCCAAAACAGGATCCAAGCAACCCAAAGCAATAAACATGGTGTCTCAGAGGAAAGCGGTCACGTCGCGCAGGCCCCAGTTTCGTCATGCGACAAGCGGGGGGCGCATTATATCGGGGATGCCGTCTGTTCTGTTCTCGAGCGACGAGTCCAATCCCAACCCCCCACCGGTTGCTTCGGAGGCAGACGATCCAAGGTTGCACTCGGCAAGTACCGTTTCGGCCAGCAAGGGGTTTTTTGGGTTTGTTTTTGGCTCGGTCAACGGGCGCAGTTGTGCAAAATCGGCTGCGTTCATTCGCGCCCTCGCTCGAAAAGCGACCTGTGAACGCGTGGATAGGTACTATTGTGCAGCACAAGTACATGCCGCGACGAGCGGCTACCCGGCACCTGGTTCGGCAGCGGCTACGACGGCTGTCCCAGAAGGCAGGCCTCTCGACGCGCAGCCAGCTGCACGTGAGGGTATTGGCGTTGAGGGTGTTCGGTTGGCTCACGATGGCCTCTTCGAGGGGGCGACAGCCTCGTAGCCGCCACAAAAACACCGGAGCACCCAAGCCTCGGGAGTCCGACGATGATGTTCCTCGAATGAATGAATGAAAGGGAACAAAAGCAGCATGTGGAAGGGATGACAGGTAGCGGCTACGAGGGGCTAGTGGAGATGCCAAACGGTGGCCCCATTTCCCCCAAATGTCACTAGGCTCGTCTGGGCGTTAGCGTCGTGTACCTGCGTCGGGGCCCTTCTGATTCGACGCGGGGGTCCCTTGGGTCCAGGCCTCAAACCACGTCCAGACAATGAAATGCCCGCTGATGAGGTGCTCATGGCCAATGGCGGCCCCCAGGTACAGTGCTCCTCCTCCCAGGGCCTTTCCCAGGATCCTTCCATTCTGGGCACTGCTGCTGGGCAGCCCTGGGCAATGCAGTGAATCGTGACCAACTACAGGTCAGGAAATGATTGGCGCCAAACCTTCCTGCCCCAGGCCTCTTGCCCCCCAAGCCCCCCAGGCCTCTTGCCCCTTGGGTCAAGGCTCCCAAGGCTCCTGCTCAGGGCCCCCAAGGTTCCTGACAGTAAGGTACTGTACATTGCAAGCCCAAGGTCAAGGCAGGCGCCCCTGATGCTCCTCCTCCACAAACGGTCGGGATCCGCCTTCCTCATACGTCCGAGCGCCGATCTCCTGCCCTTCGGACTCGTTCCCGCCCTCCTCTTTGACCTCAGACCCTCGACATCATCTCCCTGCCAGTGGTTCGTGAACCCTCCCTCCTCCATCATTCCACTGCTTGGCTTTGATGGCGGGCACGACCGTTTTCGACTCTTCCTCTCGCCTCTGAACCTTCCGTCGCCTTGCGTGAATTCCACGCCGCCTGTCATTCCAACCCAACACTCAAACACTCATTGACCCCTCGCCCACGCTCGTCGTTTCTCTCTCACACAACCACACTCTCGCTTTCGCTCTCATTCTCGCCAAAAACGTCTTGCGCGATCAACATCATTCTTGTTACGCATTGCTTCCTTTTTCGACTCCCTGATACCCAGCGCGCGCCTTCCCTCCGGTAGATCAAACCCGGCAATAGCGAAACCATCCACCCTGATCGACGACGACATCCACTTGCGCCTTACCATTCGGCACTCATCCCAAGTCCCCCATACACTAACTCCGGCGTCCTGTTTCTTCGTCCCTCCTCCAAGTCGTCTCTTCCCCAACCTTGCGCGGCATTGGCAGGCCTCATACTCTGAGCTGCCGATCCATTCACCATTCGTCGAGCCTTTCTTGCCCTTTCCTTCGTCGAAGAAGAAGAAGAAGCGTCCCACGCGATCCACCAGCCGCTCGCCAGTCGCCAGTCTTCGAAGGTGGCCCTCACCTCGCCTCGCCTGGTCGTGCCACGACGTCGTTGCGTCTCAGATCGTTTCTCGCACCCACCCGCACATACCACCCAGTGGCCCACATTCCGACCACCCTGCGCCCTCCCTCCCCTCCGTCCTCGTCCCCCTACCCCTTCGCTGTATCCGGCCTCGAGCGACCTGGGACTGATCCCTCTCCTTCCTTTGTTTCGTCGCAACAACTGTACGCAAACAGTCATCACGACAGAGCACAAGTCGATTACTTCGCGGGCGAGTAACGACATGTGCTAACGGCCGGTCCGGAACACGAGATATCATAACGACGTTTGACACGACGATTGACTTGGCGCTCGACGTTGCGCACGCCACATGATTCGAGCGGCGACGAAGAATCGTCTCAACTACCAAGCCTCTTGCTCCCGCCACTTCGGGCACCTGCCATCCTTTCTAAGCCCCTCTCCGCCTGTCGCTTCCCTGCAGCACACACAACATCATGGGTTGCTGCACGAATCGACGCAAGGTCGTCGAGGCTCGGCCTGAGCAGAAGTGGGATTACATTGTGAGTGTGTCCTCATTCAGAGTTGTCACAAGTCCTGCTTACTGACCTTACGCACCGTAGAACCTGAACGACTTCAAGTCAAAAGGCTGTGCCACTCCCTTCGCCTACGGGTACCTCTGGTTCATGCTCATCATCTCGATTGCTGTCTACGGCGTCGACACGTTTACTGCCGTCAACCTGCTCGTCTTCAACAAATGGTCCGGCGAGATCGACCCCGCCATTGATTTTGAGATATCGAAATGGATCTTCTCCATCTGCATCATTGCATCTTTTGTCAACCTCGGCTTCGAACAGCTCCGCGCCATGCGCGTCATGAAGCGCGGCAACATTGCTGAATGCTACCTTGACAACATTGCCGTCCGCCTGGAGAGTATTCGCCTGGGAAAGCGACAGGGCTACAGGCGATTCCTCGTCTTTGCTGAACTCACCAAGAGCAAGAAGGGTGGGCAGTATATCGCCCTGTTTACCTACTTCAGCTTCCAGTGTAAGTGAAACGAACCCTCTCCCAGTGCCTTGGCGGAATGCCTCTGACCCATACAGCCTGGATTCGCGTCTTGCTCTGCTCCGGACCACGCCAGGCCATCAATGCCTTGACCCTCAAGTCTGTTTACGAGGTCAAGCTCTCTTCCGATGGAGGCGGCAATGTCGGGGAGGAAATTCTGAGCTTCTTTGAAAAGATCAAGGAACTCGCCACGCAGGACACCCGACAGGCCGTCATCTTGTCGGGCATGCTCTTCACTCTCGTTGTCTGGATCTTCTCGGCCTTATTCCTTCTGGCCGCCGTTCTGTTCTACGTCTTCTTCCTATGGCACTGGATTCCCCGTGCCGACGGCGGCCTGTCTGGCTACTGTGAGCGAAAGGTCAACAAATCTCTGACGAAGATTGTCCATGAGAAGGTCGACAAAGCTCTCGCCAAGGAAGAGCGGAAGCAACTCAAGGCCGGCATCAACGGTGTTGAGAAACCCATCCTCGGCCGCCAGGCTACGCTTCCGACCCTGCCAAACTTGGGTGAGCCCGGCAAGGTTCCCGACATGCCTCAGCTCGATCGCAAGGACACCATGACCACGCTGCCGCCTTACACATCGCAACCCGCAAGCCCTGGCAGCATCGAGCTTGGTCAGATGGACAGGAAGAGACCCATGCCTCCGAGGACAACCACCATGTCGTCCACTGCCAGCTACAACTCGAACGCTCCGCTCATGGGCAACAGCGCCGACATGGGCTACGCCACTCCACTGCCGTCCGGCAACGCCATGGCACCTCCCAACCGCCCTGGCACGTCCAACTCTCACAGGACTGCCGGGCGGCCGCCTCCGGACCCCATGTCTGCACACAGTTCTTCCTTGCGCAACAACATCACAGAGAGTCCTTTGACCTACTCTGCCGGCACAATGCCGCCATTTCCTGCGCCCGTTCGGTCCACGACGGGCAGGACATTCGACACGTATGACGGCGGCCGTTCATCACCGGCGCCAAGCAGGCCTGCGTACGGCGAGTACACTCTACCATCGGACGGACGCGCCAGTCCCGCTCCTTCTGTATTCTCAGATCGTTCCGCTGTACCATCATCGGCGCGTGGCGCTTCCAGTGGATCTTTCCAGCCATATCAGCCAGGCCGTGGCGCAACGGGCCCCTTGCCGAACCGTGGGCCGGGCCCGCACTACACGCCGTCCCGGAATATGACGGCGCCGATGCCCCCACGGGGAGACAACGATTACTTTACGCGTCCAGGCACGTCGCAAAGTCACAGGCCAAACCCTCGTGGGCCAGATCGCGGCTACGACACGTACAACGCGGATCCAGAGTCGCAAAGAGATGCGAGGTATTAAAGCGGGGGCCTACCAGAGGATCTATCCGAACGTGTTTGATCCGTTTCATATTGTTTTCATGATGAGCCGGCGGCCTTGGGCAGCGCTGGTTTCTGCCAGAGCGAGCTTCTTGATATCCATTCTAGCAACAGGGTTGGAGGGCGACCAGCTTGGATCAAAGTGTTTGGCCAAGTTTTCGGTGCACACTTTATCAATATAACGACTTTTATTTCCATCACACTTGACGGTCCTTCCCGCAAGTTCTCTCTTGCTGACGTGATGGTTCTGCTTGTCTTGCGTGATGCTCGGGGTTTGAAGCTGGTCATTAGTAAGAACCAGCATCAGCAGTATCCAATTCAAAACCCGCGCGATTGAGGCTGACGATTTGTCATCTCCAACAACCAGTGATGCTGAGGAGTTTCGGGCGACGAAGGGCGCAATTCGACCTTTCATCTTGTCAAACCAACAAGAATGCAGTTTCGCCTTCCTTTCCTTTCTGTTTTCCTCCCGGTCTCCCAGTCTCTCTTTGCCATCTCTCACATCCATGACATCGAAACACATTCGAACCCGCGTACCCCGCCTTACCAGCTGCTGACATCCAACACCTCGTCCAACCCTCCTGCAACACTAATCTTCACTCCAGATTACCCTTTCCTTACCATTCAATCTTCTCCTTGTTCTG